GGACTTGCATGTCTATTTTCTTCACTAGGTTAGGGAAGTTTTCAATCATTATTTCTTCAAAGAGGTTTTCAATCCCTTGCTCTTTCTTCTCCTGGTGCCCCTATAGTGCAAATGTTAGTATGCTTAATGTTGTTCCAGAGTTCCCTTAAATTATCCTTATTTTTTTGGATTCTTTTTTCTTTTTTGCTGTTATGATCAGGTGTTTTCTGCTACCTTGTCTTCTAGATCACTGATTCGATGCTCTGATTTATCTAATCTGCTATTAACTCCCTCTAATGAATTTTTCATTTTAATGACTGTATTCCTCATTTCTGACTGTTTTTATTAATGGTTTCTATCTCTTTATTGAGGTTCTCACTGAGTTCATCTATTCTTCCCCGAAGTTCATTGAGCATCCTTATAACCAGTGTTTTGAACTGAGTATCTGGCAGATTGCTTGTCTCCATTTCGTTTAGTTCTTTCTCTAAAGTTTTGTCCTGTTCTTTCATTTAGAACATGTTTGTCTCCTCATTTTGGCTGATTCTCTGTGTTTGTTTATATATATTAGGTAGACTTGCTACCTCTCATTCTTTGTAGAGTGTCCTTATGCAGTAGGTGTCCTATAAGGTCCAGTGGTGCAGTGTCCCTAAGCCGGGTGCTCCAGCATTGTCCGTTGTGTAGGTTGTATGCCCTCTGTTGTAGTTAAGCCTTGATTACTATTGGCACATCAGTGGGCGAGACTGACTTTCAAGCTGACTGGCTGTGAATATGGCTGTGACTATAGTAGAAAACCCATTGTATGGAGGTTGACCTCACAGAGTGGGAGCTGTATTAGTGGGGCTCTGGTACCAGCTGAGTCTGCCCTTTGGCTGCGTCATTTGTGAAACTGATTGGGTGGTGCTCTGGTGTGGTCTGAAGTCAGCCACGGGGTGTGCTGATTCTGGACGCTGTTTGGAGGGTGCTCCAGTGTAGGCCAAAGTTAGCTACCATTTGTGCCCAGCTTGAGGTCACCTGGTGGGAGCTACAAAGTGATCAGAGGTTGGTTGCCACTTGTGTTGGGCTTCGAGGCACTTGGGAGATGCTGCGGTGTGAATTGAGGCTGACTGCCACTAGTGCTATGCATAAGATCCTTTAGTGGGCACTACAATGTGAGCTGAGGCCAGCCGCTTCTTGTGCCAGGATTGTGGCTGCTCAGTTGAAGCTCTGTTCCAGGCTCACACTGGCTGCAGCTTATGCTAGGCTTGGGGCTACATAATGGGAGTTACAATGCAAGTTCAGACTGGAGTTGGGGATGCTTAGCAAGATGTACAGGGCATACCAAGGCCAGATGTTGCTTGTTTGGAGTTTGTGGACCTTTGAGAGATTTTAGGAAATTCTGCAATACTCCTGTGGAAAAGGCGCTGGAAGCAGCTGGGGTTGGGGGGCACAAGTCAGGTGGGACAGTTTCTCAAGGAATCACCTGTGATTCTGTGGGCAAACAGTGTCACCCAGGTTAAGGAAGAGCTCAGATTTGGCCCTCGCCTGCACCTGCTGGCTGGGTGAAGGAGTCAACAAAGAAGCAATGGTGTCTGACAGAGCTTCCATCCCCGAAGAGAGCCACCCTGCCCCTTCAGACCTCACCCTGAAGCCAGTCAATTCAGTTCTTCCCCATATGTCTGTTGCTTTTTGAGCTGCTGCCTCTGTGCTGGAGCCCAGTGAGTGTGAGTTTGTTAGTAAGTCCCTGCTTAGCCCCTCAAGAGGAATGCTTTGGACCTCAGGAGCCTTTTATTTCCCTCAGATACAATCTCTGCTACTTTTCACAGCCAGACATTATGGAGACTCTTCTTCCCAGCACTGATGCCCCAGGCTGGGCAGGGGCTAGGGCCCCTAGCTCCTCAGGAACCTCTACAGCCAACATAGCCCTTCTGATTCTTAATTGCTACACCGTGTGTGTGGGACCTACTTGTTCTGCATCTCTGCTCCTCCTACTAGTCTCAATGTGGCTTCTTTATATCCTTGGACTTCTGTTCATGTAGTGGTTCAAAATGATGGCTGTTCTATAATTTAGCTGCAATTTTGATGTCATGGGAGGAGGTAAGCACAGCATTTACCTATTCCGCCATCTTGACTAGAAATCAAATTTTCACTTTGTTGATTGAAATTTTAGCACTGGTTGACAAAACTATTTTATAGTACGCATCTTCAACTTCATAATTTCTGTCTCCTATGTCTGCTCAGAAGTAATTTTAGTTCTCTAAGTTCTTTTCTAAATGGCTCCTTTGAAGAGTCCTTGAAAGAGGAAGTGACTCCATTTTGCAAACAGTGAACAATCTCATCATGGGCGGTGGTCTGGGAATCAGTCAAGGCAGTCAAGAATGTCTTAAGAGGAAAGGGTAAAAACATTTGAAAATTTTTTGTGTACCCACTGTATGGAGAACATTGGTTTAAACCACGGTATTGAGAATGTTTTTTCCATTATGCCACTGAAGACTCATTTGCTGGGCATCCATGAAAGTAGAGAGACTGTGGTCGGAATGCACAGCCAGGAATAAATGAAACATACTATCATAGGGACAAGGGACATGTGAACTGAATGACCCTGGACATATGAATGAAATTCTCATCCATGGAGAAGCCAAGGAAAACTATAGAAAGGCTAAAAATGCATAGAGGTAGCCTGGAGTGTTGGAGAAAAGTGATTGGTTTGTTTGAAATATTTTTGATTTAGGGTCAGTTTAAATTGAAATATGACATTTCCATAGCCAGATTAAACCGTAAGAAGTGGTACTTGATTATGACCACAGATATTACCCCAAAAACCTATGACAAAAATGCTGCTCCTCTGATTTCAGTCATCTCTGAAGTATTTCTAAATTGGAAAAAAAAAGGTCTGAAAGGGATAATAGAGCAGATGGTAGAGCATAAAAATAAGCTTCATGAAGAAACATACAAATATTTATATCAGTAAATATTTGAAAACAAGAAAAATGACCAATGGATTAGAAGATAAAAGATAGATCTTTAAATTCTGAAAGTGGTAGAGGATCTTAAATTACGAAGAACGGTTATTAAAAGCCTTGGAGAGTCTAATAAAACTGAATTAAGGAGGTTATTAGATAAATTTTTAAACACCATGAACATTTTTTAAAATGTAATAGGATGTTAAAATTCTAAAGCTTTGATTCACCGTCTACTGTGCATAAATGTTTCCATCTTACTTTTTAGTGCCCCGCCCCATACAAAACCAGTTTCACCAGATTTGGAACAGAGAAAACTGAAATAACCACTGGGATTTAACCCCCAGGAAGTCTGTTAGACAAGCTAGATAACCACTTCCTGGCAAATGCTCCGAAGGCTGTGTAGTTCAGGGTGGAGAACACTGTGTGAGTCTAGGCTTTACCTTTGTGTGGGCTCCAACAGTTCCACTGCCTTCTGATTCTGGATTCAACCTCTCAATGTCTTTCTGCTCTTCAAAGTGAGGGTAATAATGCATGTCCCACTCCCAGGGTTATTTTGAGAATCAAATGCAAAACATATGTGAAAGTGGTTTGAACAAAGGTAAGCTTTTGTAGGCTGAGTGAAGCAGAGAATGTTGACAATGGTTACAGGTAGAAAGAAATGTGTGGGTAGTACAAGGTAAGTCTTTAAATCTTGAAGTGAGATGGTATGCTCACTTAATGTTGCTAGATAATTAGTATTTAATGGCCACATGGTTATTGTAGTAAAGAACTTTATAGAAACTTCTTCAAATAGCTGGATTTTGAGCTTTATTGCATTTAATTATCCATACCTTAACACAGGGGTCCCCAACCCAACCAGTGTGTGGCCTGTTTGGAACTGGGCCACACAGCAGGAGGTGAACATCAGGTGAGCAAGTGAAGCTTCGTCTATATTTTCAGCTGCTCCCCAGCGCTAGCATCATCACTTCACCTCTACCTCAGGTCATTATCAGGTATTAGATTCTTATAGAAGCACTAGACCCTGGTACCAAAAAAGTAGGGACCACTGCCTTAGAGCAGTTATATTGGATTCATGAAATTGGACCTAGGTCAGGTGTGCATGAATTCAGTTGTCTTGATTCAGTGGCACTTTATTCCTTGGGGCTACTTCAACTATAGTGGTATAGAGCATGAATTAGTTTGGCTCAGACTAGAAAACAAGGAGGCAGGGCTGCTGTGTGAGTACAGCAGCCCCTGTGGGATGATTTCTGGGACACTGAAAAGACCCTATGGTCCCAACACGCATCCCACACTGACCTACAGACACATAAATCCTGTAATTAGAATTAGATTATTTTGACATTAGCCAAGTAGGGATTTTCCTTCCATAAAAGTATGCTGAGACTTTTTGTCTTTTTTTCCAAGGCTGTAGCAATGGAAGTAGGGAACATGTTACAATTTTGCCTAGGCTTTCTCTGACCAAAAATACAGAGTCCTGCCTTTGGGAACCACTGAGGTGATACCACAGAATGGAGTTCCCAGGGAGTTAAGTTCACCCAACTTGCCTGAGGTAATACAAACACTGGTCAGGTCAATAGCCTGGAAAGAAATATTCAGTTAGTCCATAAATACTTACTGAGTATCTAGTGGGTACTTAGCACAAGGTTACATATTTCTCATGTAGAATTTGTAGAGACTACATATGATATAAGGAGAATCAGATTGTCACTATCCTTTTATAAACTCATAAAAACGGCATAACTATACACTACAGCACATATCACTTTTTTTTGTTACACACATTAGCATACCAGACACTTCTGAATTTGTAGTGGTTCGTAGTGGGAAAATGATTAATTGTTGCTTTCTCATTGGATTCCATCTAAAACTTGTCTGACTTGTATGACCTCCATCCCTTCAGTAGATCAGGATGTGTTTTCTTTGGCTGAAAGTATTGTTATATTATAATTCTACCTTCCCCACTACAGGCCTTCTCATTCTAGGCTTGAGTCCCATGTATCTCAGTGCAGAGGCTTCTAAGATCCCAAAACCACATAATGGCAAGGCAATGGAGATTTCATGATGGTTTTACATCAAACTTACTTTTGCCCAGCTTCTCCTTGGCCCGCACAAGGTCCATACTTATAAGCATACACCAAGCGAGGAATAAAGTCAGATGTTATCGCTATGACAAATGCATTTGTAATTACAGAGAGAATTCCAATGCCTTCAAGAATTCCATACCAAATTCCTATTCAAAGAGAAGTTTTGTATTAATTCCAGACACAAGAGGAATAAGTATGAAAACAACTGGGGTGATTAATTTTAATAGTCCTTTCCATGAGTTCTTTCATCTTCCTGTCATACAAATACACTTGCAACCAGGAGCAAGAATTTGTACTCATAAACACCTTGGCATTAAAGTTTTTTTTTTTTTACTGGAAGTGCCAATGCTCATGACTTAAAAATTCTCAGGATCAGACATAAGTAGAGAATTCTGGTCAATGATAAGGCACCAAAACCCCATCTGATATGACTGGCACATGTGATGTCAATCTATTGCCAGTCTGGGAACTCCTTAAGGGTACAGAGAGGGTCCCTCTAGTTCATCTCTGTGGGCACAGTTCCTGATGCACTGACCCAGGGTGGGTGCTCACTGAATGTGTGTTTGTTTCACATGGATGTTAAAAGACCACTGGGAGCCAAATACACCCACACTCAATCCTCTTCCCCACGCACTGGCTGAGGACCACCTGCTCGCTCTGTACTAAGCACTGGATACAGAAACAAATGAAAAAAAAAAAAATTCTGATCTCAGGCAGCTTTGGAGAGGCTCCACTTGATTCAACTCAGCATTTCTAGTCAAAGACCAAAGGCCATCTCTACCTTTAGAAAAACAATCACGCTTCATTTGACTCAGGTAGACATTTAGGAAATAGCAAAACAAGTTAAGCAAATGGAAGATCTATTTTAAAAAGGCAAAAAATGGTCATCAAAATGTTAGATTCAAAAATCTTACAATAGACATGACCAAATGAAGAATCTATATAATTACAAATTCTCTAGCACTGGAAATTATAAAGTTCCAAATAGGCAGCTTTACTTCTTATTTGATCTTATTTAAAACTAACATAATTATTCTTTTATAAGAGTTAGTTGAGTCATCTTACATGGAAACTGTAAGTAAAAATCCAAAGTTGGTGTCTATTTTTATTTTTTCTACCAGATGGTTAATATTTTTTAAAAAAACACTCAAATCCAACTTACCTATGTCTTTGGCCCTTGAAGCTAAAGGTCGCCTCCATTGTGTGACGAATTTGTAAGCATCAAGTCGAATTTCAATTATGTTATTCAGTAAGGCCAGAAGTGGTGCTAGAGGAAAAGCTGCCACAAAGATAGTTGTGAATCCGAACTGAAGAACTAGACAGAAAAAAAGAGAAAAAAAAAAGTGTATTGGTTTCCCATGACTATTTTTAAAAGTCTGATAACCTGAGTGTCTCATCGTTTGAACCTATATTTTTTCTCAATACAGAAGCACAGGGAATATCTCTTCCAGAAAGATGGCCAGCACACTGGAAAAAGAAGCACTTCTGGGGCCTGGAAGCAGTGGCATCCTAGGAGCAGTGATCGTACGTAAGGTCCAGATTTTGTTTTCTAGATACCCATATCTAATAAAGTAGCCAGGGTTCCTTCAAGAAATGTTTAATTCTAGAGCTATGGTAGGGAAAATATAAGATGAGCGTGAAATATCCTGTGATGTCAGAAAGTTAGAAAGTGCTTGAAAAGTGATGGGATACAACAATAGGACACAGGACAAACTCGAAGGAGTTCCCAATGGCCAAGACTGGATCACTTTGTGCAACGATAACGATAGTGACAAATTTATATTCCTGGCAACAGTGTATAATGATTCCTTTTTCTCCATGTCCTCACCAACACCTGTCATCTCTTGTCTTTTGGGTAGTAGCTACTGTAACAGGTATGAGGTGATATCATGGTTTCATTGGCACTTCACTGATTGTTAGTGATGTTGAGCATCTTTTAATGTATCTGGTGGCCATTTGGATGTCATCTTTGGAGAAATATTTAGTTCCTTTGCCATTTTAAATCAGATATTTTGTCATTGAGTTGTATGAGTTCTTTATATATTTTGGATATTAACCCCTTACTGATATATGACTTACAACACTTTTCTTCCATTATGTTGGTTGCCTTTTCATTTTGTTAATTTTCTTTTGTTGTGCAGAAGCTTTGAGATTTGACATAGTCCCATTTGTAGAGTTTTGCTTTTGATATCATTAAGAAAATCGTTGCCAAGACCAGTGTTGAGGAACTTCTCTCTGTTTTTGTTTGAGTTTTATGATATCAGGTGTTGTTTGTCTTTGATCCATTTTGAGTTAATTTTTTTGAGTGGTTTTAGATAGAAGGTCCAATTTCATTGTTCTGAATGTGTTTGCCCACTTTTCCAAACACCATTTGTTGAAGAGATTATTCTTTCCCCATTAGGTGTTTTCATTTCCTCTGTCAAATATTAGTTGAATGTATTTGCAAGGGTCTAACTCTGAGCTGTATATTTGGTTCCATGGGTCTATGTGTCTATTTGATTAACAAAGCTATGGTAATCAAAACAGTAGCTTTGTAGTACAGTTTAAATGCAGGAAGTGTAATACCTTCAGCTTTATTCTTTTTTTCTTCAGGATTGCTTTGGATATTCAGGGTCTCTTTTGCTTCCATACAAGTATTAAAATTGTTTTTTCTATTTCTGTGAAGAATGACATTGGCATTTTGATGGGGATGACACTGAATCTATAGGTGGCTTTAGGTAGCATGAATAATTTAATGATTTTAATTCTTCTGATCCATAATAACTGGGTGTCTTTCCATTTGTTGTCTCCAATTTCTTTCAGCAAAGTCTTGTAGTTTTCATTATAGATCTTTCACTTCCTGCATTAAATTTATTCCTAGGTATTTTGTTTTTTGATGCTATTGTGAGTGAGATAGTTATCTTCATTTTTTCAGATGTTTCTTTCCTAGTGTACGAGAATGCAATTGATTTCTGTATGTTTATTTTATATCCTGTAATTTTACTAAAAGTTGATTACATCCCACAGTTTTTAGGTTGCGTCTTTAGGATTTTCTGTATACAAAAGCATATCATCTGCAAATAGAGACAATTTTACTTCTTTCTTTCCTATTTTTGGATGCTTTTTATTTGTTTTGCCTAGTTGCTCTCACTAGGATTTCCAGTACTATACTGAATGAAAGTGGTGAGAGCAGGCATCCTGTCTGGTTCTTGATCTTAGAGGAAAAGCTTTCAATTTTTATTCACTGAACATAATGTCACCTGTGAGTTTGTCACATGTGGCCTTTATTCTGTTAAGTGATTATATGAAAGGTTTTGTCATGAAAAGAAGTTGCATTTTGTTAAATGCTTTCTTTGCATCTATTTAGATAATCATGATATTTATCTTTCAATCTGTTAATGTGATGCATTACATTCATTGATTTGTATATGTTAACCAGCCTTACATCTCAGGCACGACTTCCACTTGGTTGTGGTGTATAACTGTTTTAAGGTATTTTTGAATTTGATTTGCTTATACAGTGTTAAGAATTTTGAATCTATAGTCATCAGGGATATTGGTCTATAGCTTTCTTGTAGTGTTCTTATCTGGCTTTGGTGTCACAGTAATGTTGGCTTCATAGAATGAGTTTGGAAGTAGTTTTCCTCAATATTTTTGAAGAGCTTTAAAAGGACTGGCATTAATTATTTTTTATTATTAAATTTATTGGGGCAACACTGGTTAATAAAATTATATAGGTTTCAAGTGTACAATTCAATAATGCATCATCTGTATATTGCACTGTGTATTCACCATCCAAAGTCAAATTTCCTTCCTCTCTGGTAACCACTAAACTGTTGTCTGTGTCAGAATTGTTTGTTGTCTTGTTTTATATGAGTGATATCATGTGGTTCTCAACTTTTTCTGTCTGGCTTATTTTGCTTAGCATGATTATATCAAGATCCATCTGGGTTGAGTCATATTCTATTGTAGATATGCCACATTTTCTTTATCCAATCATCTATTGGTGAATACAGTTGTTTCCATGTTCTGGCCATTGCAAATAATGGTGCACTGAACGTCGGGGTACATATGTTTATGGATAAATGTTTTCGAACTTTTTGGTACATACCCAGAAGAGGAATTGCTGGATCATATGGTAATTCTATTAATTTTCTGAGGAACTTACCCCTTTCCCCCATACTGTTTCCCATAGTGGCGGTGCCAATTTACATTATCACCAGTAGTGTATGAGGGGTCCT